TTCATGCATCACATTTTAATAAAACAATCTAATTTCACAATCTAATTGCATCTGCATAATCTAAGTATGAACACTTCTACCTATTAAACACCATTATAGTAATGACGTTTACTATATTAATAATGAGTAGTTTATGATAATTATATATAATATTTTACATCTTCCTTTTTCAGTGAAACTAGTAAAAATATGTTTTCAGATTCCAGTTCAGATTTTGTGTTTTGTCAGAGATCCAGACTTCCTGACCAGACTGTGTACAAACCAAGTTCATTCCTCCTGCATATAGTTACATTTTGTCCACAAAGAAAGAGCCACCAGGTTCATTGGGTTGGAGTGCTCGCTCCAGACAGATTGTCTATTAAATTAGATTATTCTTCAGCACCTGGATCAAGCAATGAATACCAAACTAACTCAGCTTAATAGTTATTTTTACTATCATGTACGTATACTGTAGCTTGTTTTTACAATCAAGCAGCTGCTTTGCTCCAAAATATTGTCGTTCAGCACAAACAATGTATGCTTCTCGGAAACCTTTCCTTCAGTCGTTACCTTTGCACCTTAGTGAGAAGAGAAAAAAATACTTATCGAATGCGTCTTGATCTTGTGATGCGTTTTTTTGAAACATGTTCTCCAGTTGTGCAAGATGTGTTTTGGCTGTTTTTAAAAATGTAGTACCACAAAATTTTATCTTGAAATGGTTTTTCAGCCAGTAATCAAGATTTCGAAAGTCATTTAGGATTTTCTTAATTTCTCTATTGTTAATTTTTTGGTTTTGGTTTAGTTTAGTTTTAGAAACCAAATTATCGCATTGTGTTATCCTTTACTTTTAGCAATATTACTTTTTGATGTAATCTCAAGAGTATTGAATATAGGACTAAATATTAATTTTCAGATATCTTTTTTCTTAAATCACACATTTGAACTTTATTTTTATATGGAAATAAAACCTTTAAGTTTATTCTGTCCAGCAGAGAAATTAAGAAAAGCGCAAGAAATGAAATGCAAACAGCTGTAATGAATTGTGTTAATCCTACATGTACTTCCTGTGAATCGAAAATTTTTGCCTTTTTCTCTGTGTGTTAAAGTCTTGTGACTGTCAGCGCTGTGTCACAGCAGTATGATGGTCCGGTCGTAGGGTTTTGTGTCGTGCTTTGGTTATGGGCATATGAGTGCTGTCAACAACTGTTAACAATTGAAGGTACCTTGCAAGAAGTCCTGGATGAAAATGAATTACATGATTTGGTCTTATAGATATTCTGCAAATGTCTTCTGTTTGTCATTGAAGGAAGAAAAAAAAAAACTCAAACTCCTATTTTTGATAGTGATCAAATGTAATTGCGAAGTGTGCCATTTTAACATCTCCCCATCATGGTAGGCGTTTGGTTCTTGGGAGACAGAAAAACTACAAAAAATCAATAAAATATGCACAAAAAATTTGACCATTTTTATGTAATTTTAATGTTTGCAGTTACCTCATACACCGTACATTCCAAAAAAAAATTTGTTATAGTATACATACTACCAGACATATCACTTTAAAATGTTCGTTATCAGATAGGAAATGTATAATCATATATATGTATCTAAAGTGTGTCTGTATAGTCATGATATCTACAGATGGATCCATGCACAATAAAAGATTTATAATTCTTAATTGTCTTCTTTTACTGCATGTTGCCATATATGTTGATTCATATCACTATGATAATGTTTTTGTATCTAAAAAAACCACTCCGTATATAAATATTTTTTTCAGTCAAGGATCAAGCATATTACAAGTCAAGTCACCTTTATTTATATAGCGCTTTTAACAATACAGATTGTGTCAAAGCAACTGAACAGCATTAATTAGTAAAATAAAGATATTAAGATTACAAAGATATTAAGATGATCTAAATGTATTTTTCTGAAATGTTTCAAACCCGATTTGAATTTTGGCACACCAGGAGCTTCATTGTGCATCAACATACTATGAATAAAGATTGTGTTAGACATTGCCTATGTTAATACTAATTAACTGTTTGTACGGAAAAAGAAAAATACTCTTAGGTCATACCTTTTATTCAGTATATCTTTTGAACTGAAAAAAAAACAATATATTTGTATTTCTATAAAAAGGTACATTAGACTTTTTGAGATACGCTTGGGTCACAGCTCTGTTTCTTCATTAATTTGACAGGCTTTTGTTTTTGATGTTCATTCAACATATATATAAAGCTAAAGCTAGAAACTAGCTGAAATTAAGGTTTAAGTTTTTTAATATTTTACTTTATTTCAAGCAACAGTTTCTTGATTTTTTTCTTCATTATAATAACCCTGCTTTATGCTCACTAAATTGTAATTCTAAGAAAATATCCAAAATCATTTTTGATTTAAAGATTGCAAGTTCAATATTTGTCCAAATTATTTAATTGGATAAAACTTGATAAATACTGATATGCAAATAATGTTATTCATATTAGTAGAGAGTTTGCAGTTATACCAGGCTACTTTAACACTGTTGCCGCGGGTTGTTTTTCATGTCCGCGGGTTGAAGCGACTCCAATAACATGATATTTATCCCATGGAATGCGAATTTTTAACTGGAGACCCCCTTCTTGTGAAAACCTGGCAACCCTGACTTATACATGAATCAAGAGCTGTTCATTTAAACACCTCTCACCTCTATCCCTATCTGTCTACTGTCTCCACCTCTTTTGATCTCACCATTTAATTAAGAACTGGACTAAGTGATATTCTGCATGCACACAGGAGAGAAGAAGTGTTGCTCTCATTTCCTGTAGCAGCACACCAGATACTACACCCACAGGTCTCGTCTTTTTCATCTCCTGTTAAAACACACCGCCTCTTCATGGTTACACCTTCCCTCATGCTGAAACAGACTTTCAGCGAAGAAGTCTCATCAGAGTTCTTCATGCTCAACCTCTTTTAAAGGTCTTTTGTACATTTACCACAATCTCTAAGACCTTATCAAGGGGCATCTGCAGATTTGCATCAATTTGGAGGAGTTCATGGAGGACCACCATTGCGGAGACTCTCTCTTCCCAACCTCCACCCTCATTCCTGTCACCACCATTTGCATCCTGCTCTTCGTCGTCTGTATAACCGGCAACACCATGACCATCCTCATTATCCAGCGCTTCAAGGACATGAAGACCACCACCAACCTGTATCTCTCCAGCATGGCCATCTCAGACCTGGTCATCTTCCTTAGCCTCCCCTTCGACCTCTACCGCCTCTGGAAGCACGTACCCTGGGTCTTCGGGGAGCTGATGTGCCGTCTATCACACTACATCAATGAAGGATGCACCAATGCCACCATCCTCCACATCACAGTGCTCAGCATGGAGCGTTACCTGGCCATCTGCTTCCCTTTCAAAGCCAAGGCTGCCATCACCAAGCGAAGGGTCAAGTATGTCATTCTGACTCTGTGGGGTATTGCCCTACTGTCCGCTGCGCCAGTGTTCTTCCTGATGGGTGTGGAGTACGAGAACGAGACGATGCCTGACCTTCAAACACAAGCTCTTACCAGGAACTTTCCCCAAACATCCAGATATGAAGTACTTTTTTGTCAGCTAGAGGTTTCAGTATTCTTGATTATTTTCTAATGTTTAAAGATGAAATATAAAGTAAATGCTTTAATTGTAAATTGGTCATGTACTGTAGATGAGAGGCCCTAATGACCTTTGTGACCTAAGCTCACAGAAGCTTCCAGAATCCACCCCTTCAGTCTTCTAAAAATAGGCTCAAAATATCAGACATGTTTGAAATCCTGACTGTATGAAATCAGAGTTTGAAGTTAAAAAAAAAAAAAAAAACAGAGCCTGTGCCTATCATACATTACATGATTTTCTGTGAAAACTCCAACTGCCCAAAATCTGCAGACTGTCTCTGGCTTTAGGCAACTAGCGTTGAATCAAAATGCAAATCATCATAAAAAATCTAAGCAAAAGTCATGTAGTGTATTCCAACCTTAAGGTAACAGCCATGGATATTTACGTTTGCTACAGCTCATTCTTACAGTTTAGGGACCTGGACAATCCCCTAACCCCAAGTATCAAATCTTGTAGTGTAAATGGTCACACAAGGTTTGTGCTGTAGACATAAAAGAGTCTCAAATCTCTAATTATGGGGTGTGTTGAAGAAAGGTGTGCAATTACTTCAGATAATGCTAACAATTTTCGCCTGGCGGACCATAAAACAGGTTAAAAAACGGCCATATAACTTAAACTGATTGAGAGACCTGAGCCATATTTAGAGATCAGAATGTCATCAGACATAGAGTTAGACTCTTGACTTTTGTCATTAAGTGACCATCCCAACACCCCTAGCAACTGTGTAGTACTTAGGACACCTTAGCAGCATTGTAGTCGAGACCAGGCCAAGACCTGAGTTTGTTGAGTCTGAGTTAAGACCGAGACTTGAAGAGGGTCTATATCATTTTGAAAGTATAACTATTCTTTCCTTTGGCATGAATGAAGGCTAGTTTTTCATCATAGTCACTTAAACCTCTGCAGACCAGTGCACACCAGTGTGTTCAGTCTAGAGACGGAATAGCACAGAGCAGATCATACTGCGTCCATCGGCACAGACAGATATGTAAATATGGTCTTGAATTCGAGACAGACGTGATACAGAGTCCAACACTTCATCCTAGCCTCATGGTGGCCAGCAAGATTAGGCCTATATTTGTAACACTTTAAATGTTTGTAAATCTGTGAATATTTGCACTGTTCATCTCAAACATTGATATTTTCCAATGTCCATATGTTACAAATTAAAGTTGTTTTGAAATCTACAACTTAGTCCTAACTTGACCAAAATCATTTTAAGTACAAAGAGTGTCATTATTACGATTTACCCCACTATCAATGTGAGCTGTAGCACTAACACTTATTCTACTAATAACTATTGAATAAATGCATAAAATAAAATAGATTAAATAAATCTTGGGACCCACTTTATATTAAGTGGCCTTAACAACTATGTACTTACATTTAAATTAATAATTTGGTACAATGCACTTATTGTGTACATACATGTTTTTACATTGTACTTATATTTTAAAAATACCTGCATGTAAGGCTTTTTGGGGACCGGAATGATGGTGGAGCGTTTGAAGCAGCAGGGAACTTCACACAGCTCCAATGATCTGTTGAAGATCTGTGTGAAGATGGGGGCCAGTTGGTCAGCGCAGACTTTTAAACAGGCAGGTGAAACACCATCTGGGCCTGAAGCTTTTCTAGATTTCTGCTTCCTGAAGACCCGGTTCACATCCTCTACACAGACCTTAAGCACAGGTTGAATGGTGGGGGAGGGAGGGAGGGGGGTTGCAGGGGTGGTAGGTGAAGGTGTGAAGTGCAGATCAGAGCGGATGGGGGGTGGTAGACGATCCTTTTCAAATCTGCAGTAAAACACATTCAGATCGTCAGCCAATTGTTGATTCTCCGCAAGCTGTGGGGGTGGTGTCTTGTACATGGTGATGTTCCTCAGACCAGTCCATACTGACGCTGGATCGTTTGCTGAAAGCTCTTTTCTCAGCTTTTCTGAGTAGTTTTTTTTAGCCACTCTGATCTCCTTTGTTAGTCTGTTCCTGGCCTGGTTATACAAGATTTTATCCCCACTTCTGTAAGCATCCTCTTTGGCGTGACGAAGCTGTTTGAGTTTCCCAGTAAACCACGTTTTATCATTATTAAATGATAAGAATGTCCTGGTAGGAATGCACATATCTTCACAGAAACTGATATATGAAGTTACAGTCTCTGTGAGCTCGTCCAGATCGGTGGCTGCAGCTTCAAAAACACTCCAATCAGTGAGGTCGAAATAGGCTTGTAAATCATGCTCTGCTTCATTAGTCCATCTTTTAAGTGTCCTTAAAACAGGTTTAGCTGATTTCAGTTTCTGCCTGTAGGTCGGTATAAGATGAACCAAACAGTGATCAGAGAGCCCCAAAGCTGCTCGTGGGACAGAGTGATATGCATTCTTTATTGCTGTGTAACAGTGATCCAATATATTGCTGTCTCTGGTGGGACACGTAATGTGCTGCTTGTATTTTGGCAGTTCACGGGAGAGATTTGATTTGTTAAAATCTCCAAGAATGATTAAAATAGAGTCTGGGTACCTTTGCTCCATTTCAGTTATTTGTTCGGCTAGCTGTTGCATCGCGGCGCTCACGCACGCGTCCGGAGGCACGTACACATTCACAAGAATGAATGAGGAAAACTCCCGCGGCGAGTAGAGTCTTTACAGTTTATGATGAGTGCCTCTAAATTAGGACAGCATACCTTTTTCAGCGTTGTTACATCTGAACACCAACTTTCGTTGATGTAGAAACATTATAGAAGAAGAATGACAAAACACAGAACAAACAAACAAAAACAATAGAAGAATCGCGGAGCTCAGCGTCCTGGCTGCCATTTGCGGCGCCATCATGTTGTTGTACATTGTACTTAATTTTTTATGTAAGTACATAGTAGTTAAGGCCACTTAATATAAAGTGGGGCCAAATCTTGATTTAATTTCCACAAAACAAGTTTTTATCTCTTTAAATTCTTTATTCTTGTTGACTAGCCATGTGCCGATATACAACAATACGACATCACACTAATGAACATGCATTATATTCTTATCATGGGCATTTCAAAATATCGTGAATAATTATTTATTATTCAGATTTTTAGAATGCATTTTAAGAACATCTCATCATCTGGTTAAAATGAACAACACTGCTGTAATGCTAACATTAGTTCATTAAATAGTTAGCATTAACTGACAATGAAAACACGTTATTAAAATCAAAAGTTGTAACTGTATGGACCTGATGGAACTAGTTCAGTTGTATTTTTTTAACTAACGTTAACATAACTTCTGTAACAAATGTAGCAATTTCTCATTGTTAATGTTAGTTAATGAATATTTACAATAAAGCAATAAAAAATGTATACATTTCTTTTTCTTATGAGGAAAAACAGTTATTATACTTGTTAAAGTACACTGTTAAAAAAATTCTGTAAAATATACGGCAGGGGAATTTACCATTAACCATTTAACAGGTTTTTACTGTAGCATTTTTACAGTATGTTACCGTTAAATTCACGATATTTTTTTACAGTGCACAACACTTTTGCATTTCATTGCATTTCAACATCTTAATAATATTGTAGCCTATACCGTGATAAAAGCTTCAGCAATTTTCGCAACATGAAAATTTGATACAGTCATACGTATGCCTATTGCAGACCAATCACTTTCTATCTTTCAGGAGGTTGTGGATAATTGTAATTTCATCCCTGTTCCTTATTTCTAAGGAATAAAACGGAAAATTACAACATTCTCCATTCTTCTCCATTTAAAGTGACTCGGGCGAGACATGAATATTGCCTAATCTTAATTAGTAGCAGTAACGTCTTTGCAATGTAAATGAATGATGTCAACTTGTGTGAGAAAAAGTCTAACAGATTGCAAATATGTATCTTGTCTTATTTATGTCTTATTTATTAATTGTCTTATTACTATCTTGTCAATTTATGTTCATTTATGTTTGATTGGCGAATGTTTTGTTTATTAGAAGCCTTCATAAATTAGTCTCAGTATGCAACCACCCAGAACATGGACAAATCTCATTCTTCTATTAACCCTGTGTCCTGTGCCCCTCTCTTCTCCTAGCTGTTGTTGTGTCGGTCTTTGCCATCTGCTGGCTTCCTTATCACATCAGTCGGTTCCTCTTCACACACATGGATGACTACCACTCCGCCCGCCTCAGTCAGAACTTCAACGTGGCCTCTATGGTGCTCTTCTACCTGAGCGCCTCAATTAACCCCGTCCTCTACAACCTCATGTCCAACAAGTACCGCTCCACCGTCAAACGCCTCTTCCTGTTGCCCCATAGGCGCCACCACGGGCCAAACCGGAGGCATATCTCGACCCGTGATGACTTCACCGTGTGCACAGAGACGTTCAATGGAGTGAAGGAGACTTACGGTAACATCAACCCAGCCAAAGAGGAGCGTAGGCACCTGGGAGAAGTGAAGAACGTGTGGGCTGATTGGATAAGAGCTGGAATAATTGGTGTGACGGAAATGAAAAATAAGTTTGGAACTGACTCACATTATGAGTGGAAAAAGCTTGTGACAGTGACTGTGCCCGGGGAAATGACTCATAAATGAAGGGTTTCTCACTAATGCATAATATCACAGTTATTACACAATTATTACACACTGTAATGATCGCTCACTGTATAGTGATAGCAATCATGTTGTCTAGATCAATAATGTAAAATAGGTTTTGTATAGAGCTACTTGATTAATGGAAATATTGTGACTTGAATGATTAGATTTTGACATTTTGTTGTTGCCAAACCAATTGTGGTGAAAGCAACTGTAAACCATTGCAGACACATATAAATGCGGTGTGGAAATCAGTTTGATGTTTCTCTCTTTAAATGCGTGCTGCACCTGAGCTCAAAAATGAGATGTGGCAGCCTTTGTGTGCTTCTTTTCTAATTTAACATCTCTATTGTATTACACAAAATCGTAGGCCATTTTATGTTTTTATGTCTTACAGAAAGCATAATCCAAATCTTTAAATTCTAATTAAAACTGTTTACCATTAAGTGCATGACAAAATGGTGATTCTTTACATCATAACCACCAAGTGATGGTATTATCTTGTTGCAGTGATGTGTTATTTCTATTTTAATGCATTTGTGTCCGTAAATTATTCTATTTTGCTCTGTTGGATGTCATTTCCTTTGCACATATTCATATCAATTATAGTATTAATATGTGAATTGTGTTGGAATCATTAAAACTTTACAATATTAGTATAATAGTATTGTAATCATTATAATATTGTGTATATTATATATATATATATTATAATGTAATCATTATAATATAGTGTACTGTAATCATGAAATAACATAATATTATTCTTTTATAGATTGAAAGTAATTTATTTTCTGTGGCTTTTGAAACAACATTTAAACTAAGATACTAAATGATGTTTGTTCAGCAGTAATCAAAATACAAAAAAGTGAACATAAAAAAATAACATTTTAATTAGATATTAATAAAAATAGTAATAACATGTGAATATATAATATCTTTTTAAAATCTAAATTACACTTAAAGTGTTTGTTTATTTTACAATTTTCATATGAAGTGTGGCTCAAAAAGTTAGAGCCACACACCCTGTTATATTAAGCCCCACAAAACATCGCATTTCATTTTAATTCAGAAATGTAAAATAAGTATTGAAAAGATGGATTGAAGTTGTTTTTGTATAAACTGCATTAGTGACGCATAAGTAACTTTGACATAACCTCCACTGTTTTTAAGAAATGGACTCTACAATAGCAGTGCATTTCCAGTAGGGGGAACCACTCTCATATGCTTGACTAATACATATATACAGTATAACTACAGTATATATAACTTTTGGGAGGTGAGAGCAATATTTTGTATTCATAAAATAACAAATATCTAATTGAATACATCTAAATGAATAAAACATTTAATCAAATATATTTAATAAAAATGGTTACATTTATTTTATTTTTATTCTCAGCTTATGAATTTAAAAAAAAGAAAAAGAAATAAATACCAGACAAGATCTGCTTGAAATTATTATAAAATATGATGATTTTTATAATTTTCATACACATTAAAATCCCAGTAACTCTGAACCCTTAATTGTAGTTTAGTTTTTATAGTTTTATTTATATTTTTGTTTCTAGAAATTATAACACGATATTCCGGACTATTTTCAAAAGGAATTGCAAATTGTATTTTCAATTGCGTTTTCCATATGTGGACGAATAAGAAATGATCAATATTTAAATATTGTTCAATATATTTATCACTATATATCTATCATTAATATATCAGTATATATATAATATATAATATAATATATCAGAGAACAGTATTTAAAAAGTCCAGCTGTTTTACTGAATACATGTATTTTGTGTAAAGTGGTGTGAGATCATTAATACAGGTTTGTTCCCACATGACTGAACTATCTGGTTAAGTGTCAGGAAAGAAGGGTCACAGAAAGCATTGAGACATTATTTCCTCTGTCAGACAGCCATATGTTTGGAATGTTCCTCGTGGCTTTCTTCCAAAGACCTTCAAAGCACTGAATACAAAATCTGTTTGTATGAAGCCTACAATTTCCAATTTCCATTTTCCAATTGTTTGTATGAACCCTACAATTTCCAATTTCTCACTCAAGCCGGCCTCCGCTCACTCTAGCCCGCCGGCCGTTCCTCACTCTAGGCCTCCGGCCGCCGCTCACTCAAGCCCGCCGTGTGTGACGCTGTGTGTTTCATTGTGAAAGCGAAACTACTTTGTTTGGTCTTCCAAAAGAGGACACGACTAGAAATCAGTGGTTAAGCTGTATTTACAACACTGTTCCAGAACAGTTCAACCCAAATATTCAGATGTGTGCAGCACATTTTATGGAGGACTGTTTCCTGATCCTGGGAGAGTAGACTACAATGCCGTCTGTTCTGACTCAAAGACTGAAAGTATGTTTTTCATATTTAAAGAATTTGCCACTGATGATTCAAATGCGAGTTTTGAGCAGTGTAGAGTAGCACCTGTTGTTTGTAATTTCTCTGATCACAAATGCAGACAGGGTTTTATATTTACGATTCGGCCAATCACAATGCATTGGATAGCTGGCCAATCACAGCTCACCTCGCTTTTTCAGACCGATGAGCTTTGTAAAAATTGACGCGTTTCAGAAAGGCGGGGCATAGAGGAGAAACAATAATGTACAGTATGTGGAAAATAATGTGTTTTTTTAACCTTAAACCGCATAAACACATTTCATTACACCAAATACACAAAATAATGTTCTTTTTAGCAACATCATATGACCCCTTTAAACGAAAATGACATAGAGAAGCATCCAAATGCAGTGATTTGTTTATTAAAATAAAACAACAAAAGTAAATCCAGGTAACAAAAAGGAGCTTTCAAACATGAGATAAACAGGACTAAATACGTAAATCACACATAACATCCAATAAAGGACAACACCAGACAAAGACGACCAGTGAGTCTGAAATTGCGTACTGTCTGTAGGCACTACATTTTAATTTGAACTTCATGACTGTTAAAAAAGTATGTTCTATATACTATAACTATGGGTAGTATGAATCTAATTCAGAAGTACTACATCCGCCATGTTGTTATTATCATGATGTGACTTACCAGCATCAGTTTTGCATTGCTTCACTCCCATAAATTCTCTTCCTTGGCCTCATGGGATAGTAAAGTGCATCAACTGTGTAATCCAGGCAGAAGTAGTACGTAATCCGGTTACTTTTCGCCTACAGTTTTTCAAATACTATGAATTCGAACATATCTTTCGACACACTGTTGTTCTCATACTATATAGTAGGTAAGTATTCGTTTTCAGACAGTGCATAAGAAACGTATAAATATACAAAGTAATAGGTATAATAAAGGACAGGTGAAAAAAACAAAACAAAACAAGGGAACATATAACAATTAAATGAGTATAAAACCATTTCTGTCACATGACTAGCTAGAAGTAACATAATTTCTTTGGAGGGAGAGTGACTGTAGTTGTATCAGTTATAAAATTTTCCTCATAATAAGAAGACTTATACCATAAAACATAACATGTCCATACTGTAGTGTCTGTTTGTACTGGACATAGATTTTATATATAGTATTTATTAAAATTCTTCCTAAATGTCAATCTTCTGCTAGCTTTGTTCTTTCCTTAGCCTTTTAAGGTACTTACCAAGAGGAAAATAAATGGAAAAATTACTTCTTTGCTTTTTTATTTATTATTTATTTATTTTATTTAGTTGGGGCAATAGTAAAAACAATCAATAATCAATAAATTATTTTTGTCAGCAGACCTAACAGGGTTTTTATTAATTAATTAATTAATTATTTTTTTTACCTCTACCATGGTTGAGAAGTCAGTTCATGGTAAATGTTGAAATTAATTTATAAATATAAATATAAATGTATTTTAATAATATCTTTTAAATAAAACTTGTTAAATTAAAAATCTTAAAGACTTTACTGTTTATCTTTTTTTAAATAATTTTCAATCAACTTTTTAATCAAAAGTAACTTATTTATTTATTTAAACAACTATTTTAAAGGTAACAAACAGCATTTCAAACAGGATTTTTTTAAACACATGCATGCAAGTTATTTATAAAGATTAAATTAAAAGACTGTTTATTGTTGTATAAGTTTACAACATTTTGTTCAGCAAGACCCCAAGAACTACAATATGTCAAAAACAAAAGCAAAAAAGCTCAGTCCAAAATCCACAGAATGGCCTAAGTACAGTAAACTAGCCTACAAGCCTGTCTTCTGGAATAAACATCTCAGAAGGTTAAAGTTGCATTAATTAATAATAATATAATTTATTTAATTGTTTTGTTCAATTCATGCACAAGATGGTCAAATGACTGGGGCAGCACCACTGTCATTACAAGTCAAGTAGATTATTTATCTGCAATTTTCTATTTCATGCTTTGCCTTGTTGGTTTCTCTCTCTTGTAAACACAGAGAGCCTCTTCATATTCCTCTTCATAGTCACATGCTTGACACATATACCTGTTTGCCACTGTTCGACCCTGCCTGTGTTTCTGACCTCCTCTGCTGTTAATAAAGCTTGCACATGGATCCGCACGTCTCACGTCTTGTCAGCCCCGTAACACATATGAATTGCATTCAGGGTGTCTGTTTTTGCTCTGTGTTAAGTAAAATGCGTCCTCCCTCTGATGAAGTATAGTGCAGAAAATAACATGATATAAGCTATCATCTTAAATGTAAAGTTCCTTTCTCCATGGGCATCTTGACAGTTATAGCTGACTGAATGTCAGAATAGAAGGTAGTTAGAATGCAAGCTATGGCGTTTAGGTACAAGGAAATAAAACGCACCTTCAGTATGCTGCAGAAATAATACTCTAGTCGAACACTGAACACACCTTAAAACACACCGGTTTTTACATGATGTTGTGGCATCTTGGAAAACTCATTGATTTTGACTGTATCGACACATTTGACTGTGTCGACTGTGCAGATGCGCTGACGAGTCTTGAGCAATCGAATATGGCATCTACGTATACATATCTATGGTTCCCTTAACATAGTAGGCTTATTCGAGATGCATCGGTGCTGCATAGACCGATCGGCGAATGATATCAAAGTACCGATTAATCTCGAACAAGCCTATTATCTCAAGGCCACAACTTAACGTTGTGTGGTTATGACATAAGGATGAAAAATAGGCTAATATATCACTTATGTGATGCTATATGCTTGCTAAAGGGCAACAGTATTCCTTTTTCTGTCCAACTAGCTTACATAACCAGTAAAATATGATTTTATCACATAATATTGTAATTTTTTTAAATGTAACATCACTCACGTTTTTACTGTACAATTGTGCAGTTTTGGGGGATTTATGTTATTTTTCAAATATATTTTTCAATATGTAATAAATTAAATATATTAATTTATATATTAAAAAAATCACTTTTAAGGAAGATCTACATTTTCCAATTTCATTCATGCTAATACATGAAAACATGCTGCCATCTACTGTAAAACAAACACTTTTAAAATTAAAATAACATGAAACTTCAACTACAGCCACTAGATGGCTGCAGAGGATTACTTAATGGCTTATGTGCCATTAGATTGATGTTTAGACATTACAAAATCATTATCAATAGAAAGTTTAGCTTTTTTAACTGATGTATTGTCACGACACACACACTGGGAGCACAGGAACGAACGTGGAGATGAGGAATAAAGTAAATTTCAAAGATTTAATAAACAAAAGCTGGGAATACAGAGACTCGGGATACACTGAGGACAAGAAATGACATTCGACAGCGGACAGGAAACAAGGGGCAAAACACACTTTATATAAACAGAAACTAATGGGACACACCTGGGATCAATAGAACTAAATGGGAATAGGAACAGGAAAAACCAAATATGGGCATAAACATTAACCTGGAGCACATGGGGGAGGAAAACACAACAGGAGACATGGAACAAAGTCTGACAAGTATACTTTTTTTGCAGTTATGTCATAATATTACAGTCAAACTTGAACATGTGTCATGTGTGTTATATGTGCATGTATATGTGTGTATACATGTTTTATAAGGCTTTGTTATATGTTCATTGTCAAACTCCAAAATTGGTTTATTTTTCATTATTAAAATATAAATATCAGTATATATACTGTGTGTGTGTGTGTGTGTGTTAAATCAAACAGCATTTCAAGCTGTTATGGTCATGTTACCACGTGCCCCTCTCTGTGGGGCATGTTGTCACATTTCACTTTCATACTTTCGGGTAATAAAGAAAAACATGTACACTGTATTAATGAAACAAGACCACATAGGCTACAGTATTTTTACTAGACGTGCATCTTCCTTGTAGTCCTTTTTAATGCGATATCGCGCATATGACGCATAAAACGCTCGCACCTGATCAATTTTCAAACCGAAAGCTCAAACGGGGCATAGTAGCCTACTGGTTAAAGAAGGCAGTGCAGTGTACTGGGTTTTGTGACACAGCCAGTCTGTTTGTCATAATTGTTCATGGCTCATCATAACTGTCCGGCTTTGAGTTTACTGAGAGTAAGGTGATCGTGAACAGACGCAGATGGACACTGTGTTTTGCGCAGCTCACTTGCCTTCTCATTACCACACAGTGTCTCTTCCTTTGTCGTCTGTGTTTTGAAGTGTTCGCAGATATGGGTGTTGCTGACTAAACAAACGGAAAGTGGAGTAAGGCTGCTGTCAGACTAGAGAACAGAGAGAAATCTCGGTACTCCGCTTGGATACAGAAGATTAACGCGGATAAACGTGTTTGAGGATGGAGGTATGATCTCGTTTCATGTATCTACTAATTTTTGCTTCTATGTCCTGCAATAAAAAAAGACATTTGATTTAAAAGCCTATATGAACCCATGTATATGGGACTCTAATGGACTTGTTAACAGTGTAACTCTAATGGACTTGTCAAAAGTCACTTGTGAGTCGCTTTGGACAAAAGCGTCTGCTAAATGACTACATGTAAACGTAAATTGAAATCCACTGACTCACATGTGTTTATATTGACATTAAGGTAATAGTTTATAACAACTTAGTAACATAAATGACTAGACTTTTACGAATAATATTAATAACAACAATGTAAATTAGTTTGGAGAATAGTAATAGCTAGAATGTAACATTTATTATTATGACACTTTAAACTGCATGTGTGCTTTAATGACATGTCAAGTCTTGTTTCAATATTTGTAAATGTCATTTAGTTTTTTTATACAGTCTTGTCTTTACTGTTTAGTTCTGGAAAATTTAAGGGTGGTTGCTTTTTGAGAAATGTATGAGACTCCTTCTGATGTACCCCTTGGTATTTAGTAACTTTAAACAAAATTGCAAAGCTTGTTAAGAAATTAAAAAAATATATTTAATAGTAAAGTAAAGCTGTGGTTAGCTGTGCTGTGCTATAATCATAAAATTTTGACCCATATGTCCGCCAAAATATCTGTAACCATAAGTCTCAGTTAGTCCACAGTGGCTGAAGTGAGCTACTGCAGATACAATATAACAGACATGTGCTGGTAAAATGAATACTCAGACTGTTTTAACCCCAAATTACCTCAAAATGAGGCAGGAAGGGCCATCTGCAGAATATCTTCCTCTGAAAAGTAAGAGCATTGATTTTTTCTCTTAACCACAAGCATTAAAGTTCCTCACGTGGCATGTGGTGGTTGGGTTGTTACTTCTGCAAGTGTAATCAAAGAGCACTCAACTCTTTCCTTGGTGTTCATCTTAAGGTCATTAAAAGGGATGTGAAAGGAGGAGGTATGCTTTTCCACAGAATGTACATGTCACAATGTGCAATGTACATGACTACCAGTCAAAATATATATAATGTTTCTCAACATGATCATAAAAACCTTATCTAAAAGCTTTTGCTTTGGCTTAAAGGATTGAAATTAGTTTTGTGGACAAATACAGATTTTGTCTGTATGATTTGAATAAATAGATAACTAAAACAACCCTCTATGCATGAAAATTACATATACAGTATGTATATGGAATAATTAATGACAGGCCATTGTGCATTATTTTTCAATAATCCAACAGACTGAAGTCAATTATTCTGATTATACCATGGTTACCACACCTCAAGATATTGTTCAGATGTTTTATTTCAAGACCTTTGTCTTGTTTTTGTTCTTAAAATGCTCTTAAAAACGTAATCGGTTACTAACGTAACCTCGGTTCCCTGAGATACGGGAACGAGTACTGCGTCTTGCTTAAGACGCATATGGGAACGGCTAGCAACGCAGTACTCGTTCCCGTATCTCAGGGAACCGAGGTTACGTTAGTAACCGAGTACGTTCCCTTTCGATACTTCACTCGTACTGCGTCTTGCTTAAGACGCATATGGGAACAGTCCAATCACGCCGTGCTAATGTAGTGGAACGACTAAAGGTATAACTTCCATAAGCAACCAATGCTTATAGAGAAGTCAACAATAACCCAAGGCTAAAACGGGCTGAGCTTTCTAGTTCACGCCCGGCCTGGTTAATCGTTCCAGAGTATCTCCGTAACTTCGACACCCAGGGGTCGAGAGCTAACAGGTGAGCAATGCCAGAGAACTTGGGCGCGGTATGGCCAAGGGCTCTCTGCCATATCCGTTTACGCAGCGCGTGCCATTTCAAGCGGAAAGGACCCTGGCCTGTAAGGCCCAGCCGGCCGCCCTGTGTTCTTGTTCCCTCACTCGCCTGATTACCTGTGGGATCAGAACGATCGGGGGGAAAGCATAGAGAAGGAGGTTGGGCCAATCGTGGACCAACACTTCCTTGGTCTTTGAAAAATAAATTTGGCAGTGAGAGTTGTCTTCTGAGGCGAAGAGGTCTACCTCTGCCTCGCCGAAGATCTCCCAGATCTTCTGAACCGTCTGCGGATGGAGCGTCCACTCCCCTGAGGGGACATTGCTCCTTGATAACATGTCCGCTCCCCGGTTCAATTTGCCCGGTATATGCGCTGCCTTTAGCGAGCGCAGGTTGGGTTGAGCCCACTCTAAGAAGCGCTCTACCAGCATGAAGAGGCGCTTTGAAGAGAGGCTTCCCTGGCGATTTATGTAGGACACAACCAACATGTTGTCCGATCGGATTGGCACATAGTGTCCTTTCAGGACTGGCAGGAAGAACTGACAGGCTCGACATACTGCTAGCAATTCTAGACAGTTGATGTGGAAGCCTTTTTCCCACCTTCGACCAGTGGTCGAAGGTCGGTATGCCCTCGCACAGCGCCCCCCCCAACCTGAGTTGGAGGCGTCTGTCGTGACAACTGCCCTTCTGTGAACCATCCCCATGGCCACGCCCTGTTCCATCTAGAGGGAGTTCTTCCAGGGGGTCAGGGCCGATACACATGCCTGACTCACCCTGATATGCAGGCGTCCGTGACGCCACGCATGGGATGGAACCCGTGGTTTCAACCAGCGCTGAAGGGGGTGCATACGCAGCAGACCCAACTGTAGCACTGGATCTGTTTCAGTGTAATCATCCTGAACGACCTCTTCATGAGGGCACGATTCAGGTGTCTGAGATCGAGGATGGGTCGGAGGCCACCATCTCTTTTGGGGACGAGGAAGTAACGGCTGTAAAAGCCTGACTCGCTCTGGGCTGGAGGAACTTTTTCCACGGCTCCTTTTGCCAGCAAATTCATCACCTCTGAGCGCAGGACGGGGGCGTCCTTGCTCTGTCCTGAGGTGGAGACCACGCCGCTGAAGCGCGGGGGTCTTCAAGCGAATTTGAGTGAATATCCTCGCTTTATTATCCCCATAACCCATTTTGACACTGTTACGCCCTGTCTAGGGTGAAGGCGCAACGGGACGAGGAAGTAACGGCTGTAAAAGCCTGACTCGCTCTGGGCTGGAGGAACTTTTTCCACGGCTCCTTTTGCCAGCAAATTCATCACCTCTGAGCGCAGGACGGGGGCGTCCTTGCTCTGTCCTGAGGTGGAGACCACGCCGCTGAAGCGCGGGGGTCTTCAAGCGAATTTACAATTACTTTATCCAAAAACAATCAAAAAACAAGGTTCCAACAAAAATGGCGTCAGTCTCCCTACCTCCCCAGAATATTAGTATATACAATTATTTACAATGATAAGCGAACAGATCCGAACAAGGGCAATCCAGAATCATAGTCAAAGAACAGGCGGAAGTCAGTAGTAAGAATAAATGGGCAAAGCAAACTAACAAACAATCTCTCACCAGCGAACACTCGATTGAACACACACAGAAATTCTCAGTCTTACGAACACATGTAACTAACTAGCAGAGTCAAGGCAGAGCAAACACAACAAGAGAGCACAAAAGCTGAAGCAGGAAGTGATGACGGAGTCTCTTATAGGCAGCAAGGAGTCAGCTGATCAGGCAGGGCGTGGCACCAATTAGACTGCAGGAACCAATCAGCTTCTTCCTGGACAGAAGACACACACAAACACTTCCCAAACAAAAGAAAACACAGAAGTAGAACAAAAGGGACGTAACAAACTGTACTACAGAAATGGGAATCTAATAAGAGTCACTATTCATAATGTATGCCTAAAGTACATCTGGATGCCTCATAGTAATTTCTAATTATTTTTCTATTGATATAGAATTTTTTTCTATTGATTTTGAGTTAATAACAGGGCCCAAATATGTTTTTGTAGATTAAACCTGTAACAAAAAAGCAGTGTTTGGAAACAATAAAACAAATGGCAGTATTTGATCTATAATGTTGCAGCCAAATTTGGAGGGCTACGAAATCCACGAAGTTGCGTTAAAAAAGAAGGAAGGCCAGAGCCTCGGGATCTCCATAATCGGACACAACGCTTTGACTGCTAAGGGTAAGAAACATATTTTGCCTTGTTTTCCCAGAAATCCAGCGACTAATCAGTATGCACTTAATTATTATTTCCTCGCATCCCTCATCTCTGTTGCATGTCAGATGCGGTGGGGGTCTTCGTGAAGAACGTGGTTCCAGGCAGCGCCGCTGAGCAGAGCGGGAAAATCCATGTCCACGACAGGATAATAGCAGTGGGTTCTTAATCACTTTTTAATGAGCTCTACCTTAATTAGCCCCGTGTCCGTACGAGCGCTCTGACAGAACAGAACGCCAACTAAGCAAGACGTCTCTTTCATCTCACGTTGATTCACAGTTTTAATAAGAACGGGTTTGAGTGTGGACGCGGTCAGCTGTCACGCTCTCCCCAGCCTCACGGTATAGGCTAATCAGTCCCACTGAGGCGACTTGGAGAGCCGGTTAGCCAGGCCTGAAGTGACTTCTTGATTGTCTTTGTGTCTGTGTGAACAGTTGGATGGCGTGAACCTCCAGGGATTCACCAACCAGGAAGTCCTGGAAGTAATGAAGCGGACAGGTGATATCGTACACCTTACCCACATTAGGAAGATCAACTCGCCCAAGAGGACAGTCGTAGAAAAATCACTAGATAAAGGTAAAGTGACATGTTGTATTAGGATCAGATCTGTACCTACAGAGCTGTTATTCAATTAAAAAACATTTTAAAATAAAAATTTTAACATTTGATCAAATATAATAATAATAAATATATATTTTCATTTGAACGTATTCTGTAAATTAAGAAAATAAATAACGTGAAATTATTGGACTGTTAAACTGCATCAAAACAAGAAATTCAAACACAGAAAGCAATGCAGATCTGCATAGATTCAAAAATAATAAAACTACAGCAAGAGAGCACAAAAGCTGAAGCAGGAAGTGATGACGGAGTCTCTTATAGGCAGCAAGGAGTCAGCTGATCAGGCAGGGCGTGGCACCAATTAGACTGCAGGAA